TGACATACTACGTAGTATTTATTACCACAGGGCATCACTATACTCCACAAGTTGATTTTTCATGTACAAGGATTACCTTTGTCAGGATATATGAAGTATTTGTACTCATAAGGAACTGCACAGCCCCATCTCATCCTCCCATCTGTTGGACAGCTGGTTACAGTTGCCAAAGTGCTTGAACGGTTTTCAGTCTGCGTTGGTCGGTATTCAGATTTCTTGAACGGTTTTCCTTGGTTACCTTGTTCCGAGCCAAGTACAGTATCGTAAGCATAATTCTAAACATGCACAAGTATGTATCCCAATCGATGGGGTGCAGCAGCATGAATACTGTAACGTGTTCGAATTGACCAAGGTTGAATGCACAGTATATATGTACTGTACAGGGGGTCAGATTTCTCCATGGTTCTCTGAAGTAAGACCACACATTCCAGCTATGGGTAAGTGCATTTCAGGGTGGTTAGCTCACCTCTGGTGGTACAACCCCAAGATTAGCAACTCAACGGGTCTGGGGGTTCCAAAGGGCTACAGTACTATACTGGTTCTTTTGAAGGAAATGATTACGTAAGCAGCAGTGGAACTATTCTCTCAGGAAATTACCAGTATATTCGCCTAACGTATCTAATATGTACAGAAAACGTGCCGCACCTTTGATAACTACAAACTGAAAACTTCAACAACCCAGTCGACTACCAATGTACGATGAATCCAGCTAGCTACATATGCAAGCCAGCTTGGTCGAAAATGCAGTCTGAGTCGCAAAATCTGCATCTGAGTTGAGTAGCCCGTGGCTCGTCCATGCTGGAATGCATCAAGCAAAACCAATGGCCCCTCGATGATCCTTCCTACTATAGTAGTAAACGCAAGGCACGACGCACGCATGCATACTGTATGTACGTACAGTCACCACAAACCCCTCAACCAAGTGGGGCAAAGGCATATATATGCGTGTATCTCATTTTCGTTTTCACTTTGTCCTGGTCATATGCGCATTCCATTGGTTGTTGCGTTATTGGCATCGGTCGTTGCGGCGGCCTTGAACGACGCCCAAGTTGACAACTCCCGTGTAAACGCGGCAGTAGTGGATGACGACGTGTTCCAAGTCGACAACTCCCGTGTGAATGCCACCACGGAAGCCACGGTTCGCGGGATCGACGGCCGTTTACGAACCGTTGACCAAGAGGCCACAATCCAAGACGATGCCGACACGAACCGCGCGTGCCACAACCAAAACAGCGGGTACTTGGCGACGCTCCAAAAAGGAAAGTACGCCGCGAGTACGTTCCACAACTGCTTTCGCACCACCGATCAAATCTACGAGTTCTTGGACAAGATTGTGACCCAGAACAGCAACGTGTTGACCAAGTTTGCAGTGTCTCGGACGTTCAAGGGAGCCACGATCTACGGGTACAAGCTGTCCAAGTCGGCGACTGCGACTAAATCGTTGTACTTTCAGTCGCTCCAGCATGCCCGGGAATGGATAGCCGGGTCATCGCATCTGTTTACCATTGCCTCGTTGTTGGACGACGTTGCCAACAACAAACCGTCCCCCGCAGACACTTACAACTTGATCTTTGTCCCGATTGTCAACATTGACGGGTACGCCCTCACGTGGAACGGCAACCGGTACCAGCGCAAGAATGCCAACCAAGTCGACTTGAACCGCAACTGGCCGAGCCTACCCAACCCCCGCCCCCCTCCCCCCTCGGACGAAACGTACCCCGGCCCTCGCCCGTTCTCGGAACCAGAATCCAAGGGTATTGACGGGTGGCTCAAGGCGCGCCGCACCGAGTTGGACGGGTTCGTGGACATCCATTCGTATGGAGGGCTGTTGTTGTATCCGTACGGCGACACCAAAAGCCCAATTGGTAGCGGATACGACGCCAAGTTTAAGACCCTCGGTGCCAACTTGCAGCGTGTAATGGGGGCATACAAGCCTCAGCCAGTGTGGAACCTGTACTTGGCATACGGTGGGTTCTCGGACTATGCGTTCCGTGAGTTCAAGAAGCCGTCGTTCACAATCGAAGTGGTCGGAAACGATTTCGCCGCCCCTGCCAGCACGATCCGCACCCGCGGCAAAGAAGTGTACAACGGCGTCGTGCAATTCTCCAAGGAAGCAGTCACGTTCAACCGTGCGGCTGTAGCGGCGGACGGTGCCGATATCGTCGACCCAGCCAATTAACTAGCGTTGTGTGTGCCGTGTATTGTTTGTTGTGACCATGGGCCGACACGATGTAGTACGTTTCTACGCTTTAACGTTAACGTCAATCAAACATTTATTGTGTTGAGCAAGCACCCTCGTTGGACTCGACCTGTTAGGACTATTAGCTAGTACGGCGTATACTTGAGGCCCCCGTTGAGGCATCCCCCACATTTGGGCAGGGCCACGACGACGTTGTCCTTGGCGCTCAAAACGGGAGACCCGGTCCGTGTCGAGGGTGTACCCGAGCGACTTCGTCGGCCACACACCAGAATCCGTCGCGATGCGCGTGCGGCGGGGTGTTGAGGGATGTAGATCTGTTCGCCCAAGACGGCGCCCGACGCGCGCGCTTGGAGGTAGCTATACGGGGACAACGCTGCCGCCCCGGCGTTGAGCTTGACCAGCGTGAAATCGTTGGCTTTGCTCGTGTATACAAACTCAGAGCTCGTGGCCACGGTGACCCCCTTGCAGCCCAACTGCTTGACGTTGTTGGGGTCTTCGGAGGTCGCACATTCAGCAGCGAATTCAAACTTCTTCTTGGCCGCGTCTATGGCCGTGCCGATGCAGTGGTTGTTGGCCTTCCGACCCGAGCAGCCAGCCCGTGCAGAGCCATCGCTTGGGCCTTTTGGTACTTAGGGGCATCCACGTCCTCTTGACACACACAACCGCTTGGGTGTCGTCCTTGCCACACACTGCTTCCACGTGGCTTGACGAGTTGTCAGGGTGTGACGTTAATGTTGTAAATCCAAAACAGGGAAATTACGTACTTGGAAGTACTCGTTTGAATACATACTAGTAACGAGTAATTCCCTGAAGTAAGTAGTACCTGTAACGTCACTACTGTAGTACTTACTGTACTAGCTAGTACTTCGAAGTATTTCCCTAAATACGGTTCCACATTGGTACTTAGGTAATCATTCCCCTTACTATGTACTACTTCTACTAGTATTAATATACAATACGTAAGCCAAAACATGACATCAGATTGACAATGTGAATTGGGACCAGGAGAAAGATTGGGTACAGGTAAATGGGGAATACGGTAGGGAATACAGTAATACTAGTACTACGTAGAACTACGAACACGCCCTTAGGGCGTGTTCGGAGCGACTTTTGTGTCAGCGGTTTTTGGAAACGTAGCCAATCAGAATCGTTTCCATCGACTTTTGCAAAAACCGCTCTGGACGAGGTCGTTTACAGCGACTTTTGGGATTGTGGCTATTTATTGGGCAAAAATATCAGAATAAATTGTTGGTTGCAAACCAAAATTTCGCAGGCGCACGCCCAAAGCACGCCTTTGTCGGTTGCCGGTGGTTCGTCACTCCACTCCGGTGTGTACTGGTAGGTCCTCGACGGGAGAACTTTACCCATGTGAAGCACGGCTATGGTAAGTCATTTCCATGTCGAGGGTAGCTGCACACACAACGCATCGAACGCTGTACACATGCCCCTCCCGCGCGACCTCCTACTTGTACTGAACCCTAGGCTCTGTGTATTGTAAACTGATTTCAGGTTAGCTAGGCGTTGATCTTATGGGTTGCGCATGCCTAGAGTTAGTAGTGATGACTGCACGACTCCTTCGGGAAGGAGAAGGTCACACCGACGCTCAAGGTTGAAACACATAGCATTGTCGGTCGGTTTGACCTTTACCGGTGCGCCATTAGCGTGGCAGTCTATATTTCCAAGCCGCCGACTTTACGACTGACTTGCGTAGATACATAGTTCTCATGCGCTATATCTACTCTACGTCGTTTCGCCACTCGCCGCCTGAACATTTGGCCACCACAGCCACTACGTGACAACAATTTTCTGCGCTCCGCTATCATAGAGCTGAAAATGGACAATGAATTTTAGGGCGCATCATTGGTTGATTTTTCTCTGTTATTAACCAATGTCAGTGAAGGCAAA